ACCCTACCCCCCTATAGAGAGCCCTTAAACTTACTAAGACCCATGAACCTTTCACTAGCCCCAGTCTGAAATCCTGGACTGGCTCTACGCCCAAATCATTACAGTCCCGGCTGCGTCGTCCCGCCTTGTCAAGAGCTTGGGTTGAAAATGATAGCAAGTCATCCTCAGCTGTTTTCAGTGCAAGAGCCAGGATATGAACTTTCGCTATTACTTCTGTCACCCTTTTCGGAACATTCCCTGGAAGAGGAGTAAGGGTAAGCGGAGTACGTGTAAGGGCATCAAGAGTAAGATGAGTTAGAGTATCAGGAGCAAGAATAAGAGGAGCAAAAGTACCCAGAGGAACAACAAGAGCAAGAGTGGGCAAAACAAAAGTCATAACAATGGTTGTCAGAATAGAAATGATAATGCAAATGGTGCTACTACCACCACCACAACAACAACTGCTGCTGCGACTACTACTACTGCTACTGCTACGGCTCCGACGCCGACTCCTACTCCTACTCCCACGCCTCCTCCAACTATACTACTACTACTGCTGCTACTACTACTACTACTATTACTACTACTACTACTGCTACTACTACTACTACTACTACTACTACTGCTACTGCTACGACGACGACGACGACGACGGCAACAACAACGGCAACAGCAAGAACAACAACAACAACCAACAACAACAACAACAACAACAACCAACAACAGCAGCAACAACAACAATAACAGCAATTACAACAACTACAACAACTACAAAAACTACTACTACTTGTACTACTATTACTACTACTACTACTACTACTACTACTACTACTACTACTACTACTACTACTACTACTACGACTACTACTACTACTACTACGACTACTTGTACTACTACTACTACTACTACTACTACTACTACTACTACTACTACTACTACTACTACTACTACTACTACTACTACTACTACTACTACTACTACTACTACTACTACTACTACTACTACTACTACTACTACTACTACTACTTGTACTACTACTACTACTACTACTACTACTACTACTACTACTACCACTACTACTACTTGTACTACTACTACTACTACTACTACTACTGCTGCTGCTACTGCTACTGCTACTGCTACTGCTACTACTACTACTACTACTACTACTGCTGCTGCTGCTGCTGCTGCTGCTCCTACTACCACTACCACAACTAACACTAGCAGTGGTGGTCGTGGTAGTGGTAGTGGTAGTGGTAGTGGTAGTAGTAGTAGTAGTAGTAGTAGTAGCAGCAGCAGCAGCAGGAGTAGTAGTAGTAGTAGTCGTCGTCGTAGTCGTAGTCGTAGTAGCAGTAGTAGTAGTAGTAATAGTAGTAGTAGTAGTAGTTGTAGTAGTTGTAGTAGTTGTAGTAGTTGTAGTAGTTGTAGTAGTGGTAGTGGTAGTAGTAGTAGTAGTAGTAGTAGTAGTAGTAGTTGCAGTATCACTGGTGATAGTTGCTGCGAAAGCACAGTTGATAGTGATAAGAACCAGGTTCACAAGAATAACAGCATCCATTAACAATTCCCCAATCCCTAACGCCTAAACCCTAAACCCTAACCCCTAATCCCTAAACCCCTAAACCCGGAACCCCTAAACCCTTGCTGACCTTTGGATCCCTTATAGAACCCATTTAAGGAACCCTAAACCCTATAGATCCTTTAAAGAGACCCTAAACCCTTGCTTGGCAATCCTCTCTCCCGGCCAGACCCAAGGCTGGCAGCTGCTCGGTCGAGCATTTTTTTGGTTTCAGAGAGCTCGTTATTTTTGGGACTTATAAGTACCATAACCCCAATTAGGGTCCCTTTTAGGGTACTTGTAAGTCTACTTACTACCTTACTAAATCCCCCGACCCTCCAAGTATAGACCAATACCCTTATGGATCAAAGTGTAGGGTTTAAGGATTAGGGGTATAGGGCTTAAGGATTAGGGTTTAGGGTACAGGGATTAGGATTTATGGGTTTAGGGATTAGAGTTTAGGGTTGCGGCTTCAGGGAATAGGGTTCTGGGGTCTGGGGTTCGTGATTTAGGGTTTGGGGTTGAGGGTTTAGGGTACCTTTCGCCCTTGAACCATGAACCTTAGTTGACATCTGTCAAGCTCCGGCTTTAGGGATCATGGAGCTTGTTTTCATAGACTCGCTTGTCGTCAGCATCTTTGCAGCCCGCAGGCTTTCGGCAATAGGAAGTGCCCGTGCCATCTGTACACTCATTTGGTGTGGTCTCCTTGCCACATGGCTGGTTGTCAATATTGGAGTCCCTTTTTGGGTCCCTATTATAATACGGCACCTAATATGTAGGATCCCAAAAAAGGGACCATAATTTCGACAACCACCCACAAGTTAGCCCTCTATAAACTTGCTTGCACAGGGGCGGGTTAGCTCTCGCGATCAGCCGCCGGCCTGTTTCACCCCTGCACACACTTTTTTCGCGCGAGTAGGAATCCAGAGTAGAGTTGTACGGTGGAGCCAAGAAAGCTTGCACTGCAGTCTGACTACTGCTGCTACTGCTGCTTCTGCTACTACTGCTGATGACATAAATCCTGCATTACCTTAAGGTCCCTGAACTATGGGAAGTATGGTATATTCCTTATGATGGGTCATGCCGGATTTATATCATCAACCGTAGGGCTAGGACTCGGACTGCGAGTGGGGCAGTGGAGGTTTGTAGTCGACTTTTGTTTGGGTTGACGATGCCCTAAACCCAAAAGTAGAGCCCAGAAAGTTGGAACATCAATATCCTCATGCCGTTAAGGGAAAGTATTGTGGATCCTAGCCCCACTCCTCCTCAACCCATGTTCCAACTTTTCTGTGGTGCACTGTAAACTTTAAACCCTAAACCGCAAAAGGCGCAGAGACTGGACTCCCGAGTTGTCGGCACCTCCCTTCCCGGCTGGCTCTCTTGGGCTCGGAGTGTGAACTCTCCAGCGTCTCCGGGCGCCACGGCATTCTAGTTGCCGCTTGGAGAATTCAGGTCCCAGTCATAGGAGCCAAAAGCGGGTTTAGCCTATGGGGGTTTAGTCGGGATTAGGGTTCCCATAATAGGGTTCAGGAATCCCTACCCAAGAATCTTAAACCCCCCTTTTGGCCTGACTCCAAAGACCCCTGAGTTAAGAAATATACCTTACAGCATATTAGGGATCCCATTACAATGTACCATAACTCATATTATATAGGGATCCGATTAGAATTCAAGGTATCTTCCTTAGTTAAGGGTTTTCGGAGTCTCCGGCTTGGTCTCCCGAAAGGTGTTACACCTAAGCCCTCAACCCTAAGCCATGTCAAGATCCTGATTTGGGGTGTCCTGCTGAAGGGTTACAGGGAGCTTAGCTGTGGGTGGCTCCTTGTACGGAATATCTTAGCAGCTGGTTCCTAAATCGAGGTTACCGATCTGAACTGCGGGTTGTTTCGTGTTGGGGACCTTAGCTACCGTATTACAAGATCTTAACTGCTACTACGGATCTTAACAACCCTCCACCCTTAACCCTAAACCCTTAACACTTAGGGGTACTTAGAAAATGTTTTTTGGTCATTAGAAACCCTAAGAAGCAGCTAAAATTACAATTTGTGCTAGGGTTCTAAGTTCAGTACAGAACAACTGGACCCTCAACCCTTAACCCTAAACCCTTAACCCTAAACCCTCAACCCCTAACCCTAAACCCTCAATCCACTGGTTCCAAAATCGGAGCTCCGCTTGCACAAGCAGAGCAGAAGTCTGATTTTCCCAAACATACTGCAAGTAACCCCCAAAAGAATAGGTGCCGTATTATAATAGGGACCCTATCAAAGGTAAGCTATGTGGGTCGAGGTATAGTCCCAAGCATACCTATAAGTAACCCCCAAACCCTGTTCAAGAAAGCCTATGAAAAGGAACCCTTAGCTAAACCTCAAGCCTAAGCCCGAAATCTGAAACCCCGAAAGGAGGCCTTTTTGGGTTCATTCCCTGCTTTAGGAACCCGTTTACAGTAAAGCCCATAAAGCTGGAAACTGGATTAAGGCCAAATAGTGCTAAGGATTGAGGCTACAGAGTTTCCAACTTTTGGCTGGGCTTCTACTGTAATGTTTACGGTCCGACATATTACGCAAAGCTTCGGAGCTCACAGGTCGCCGAGCTTCCTCAACCGTAAAGCCTTAACCGTAAACCCTAAGCCACTACACCCCCAGCCCCTAAACCACTAAATCCCGAAACGCCCTAAACCCTATGGATCCCTTATAGAACCCTTTAAGGAGCCCTAAACCCCTAACCTCTAAGCTCCCGAAGCCCTAAACCACTAAACCTCTCAACTCACTACCCGGAGGCCCCATGGTAGTGCCTTTTTGTGGGTAACTTCATAAGGTTCTAAATATGAACCCCAAAAAGGAACTACAATGGGGTCTTAGAAGACCCTATGGATCCCTTATAGAACCCTTTAAGGAACCCTAAAGCCTATAGATCCTTTAAAGAAGCCCTAAACCCCCAAACCCTAAACCACTAAAGCTCTCAACCCACTAAACCTTGGCGTTCTTCTGGTTGGCTCTTTAGACTTTAACCCTTTGGGTTTCTATATGAACTATAATAAGTAGGCCAAAAGTTTAACTTTTAGGATGGGTTCAGAAGTCAGCCAAGTAAAGAACCCTTAGTAGTATAGGGCCCCAAATTACGGGATCTACTTTCTAGATGGGTAGTTGTCTCAATTAGGGTCCCTTTTTGGGTCCTTAAACCCTAAACCCTAAACCCTAAACCCTAAACCCCTAAAACCCTAAACCCTAAACCCTAAACCCTAAAACCCTAAACCCTAAACCCCTAAACCCCTAAAACCCTAAACCCCTAAACCCTAAACCCCTAAACCCTAAACCCTAAACCCCTAAAACCCTAAACCCTAAACCCTAAACCCTAAACCCCTAAACCCCTAAAACCCTAAACCCCTAAACCCCTAAACCCCTAAACCCTAAACCCTAAACCCCTAAACCCTAAACCCTAAAACCCTAAGCCAAGAAACCCAAGGCCATGGTGCTTGGGGAGCTCGGCTCGCGGATCACCGCCTCCTTCCGGAAGTTGAACCAGGCGCCGATTATCGCCGCTCGGATCCCGAAAACTTTTCTGTATAGGGGTTTCAGCGGTTTCGGGTTTAGGGGTTTAGGGTTTAGCGCTTTAGGAGTTTGTGTTTTGGGGGCTTTTTGGGTTGAGGTGCTGAGGGTTTCTTGAATTCTGACAACTTTCTATATAGAGGCCTAGAGAAGCACCAACGTTCTGTTCCTTAGAGGTACAAAGTTTAGTTTATTGTGAGATACCTTGCCAAAACCCTACTGCCATTATTAGTTGCATCTTCCTGAGTCATGGGCATTCGAGCGTCCACGGGTAGACAATGTTCGTGAAGATATTGTGTTCCACGTTCTTAGTTTAGCAAGCAAGTGCAGGGATCATAGGGCAATTAAATAGTGAAGTGATGGTGAGGTTATCGCGGTTAAAGTAGAAGCCCAAAAGTTGGAAACCCCATAGCCTCAATCCTTAAGAGTACTGTATAGGGAATCCCAGCACTATTTGGCCTTAATCCGGTTTCCAACTTTATGGGGTTTACTGTAGACCTGAGTTGTCCAGCAGGGGATGCCGCAGACAGTCAGAGGGTACATCTCACAGCCCGAAGTTCAATCGATGCCCAAAGACAGCCCGAAGCTCTTAAACGCAAAGAATCCCTGAACCCTAATTCTTTACCCAACAACTACTTTTCAACCCTGAACCCTGAAACCCAAGACCAAAAATCAAGTTCAAGGATGATGATCTTCTCGACGAGGTCTTGAAGGACATCGCTCCGAGAGGCTGTCAGGTAGGCCCTCCTACAAACGGCTTCTCAGGGTCCAGGGTTCAGCGGAAATTTCGGGCTCCTCTGCAAAGGAAGGAATATTGGAATACTACGTTTGGGCTTCTTTTAGGGTTGCAGTCCCATCGTTTGCAATCTACGCGAAAGCCAGATTCCGAGACATGCTGCCTCCAATGTGGCCCATCGCAGCTCTTAGACCCCTGAAGCTTGAACACGACCCTAAACTCCAAAGGGTCCAAAGTACCTAAAAAGTAGAATGTAGGGTTTCTATATCATGATTTGGAGAAATAAGAAAACAGTGCCTAGAAATCTTTGGGAACCCCAAACCCTAACCCTAAGTCCTAAACCCCCAAAACCTAAACCATACAGACCATTTCCGAAAATTAGGGTTACCCTATTTGGGGTCCTTAAAATAAAGATCCCATTATTTGGGGTACTAATTAGGGTCCCTATTTTCGGAAACTCCCACATAGAGACCCTATAAAGATGGTGGAAGGAGATCGCTGCAGCACTCTTGCAAGCGGATGTCAACGTCCGCTATGTCTCAGAGCTGAGGAGAGGAATTTTGGAGATTTTACTCGGCTTGGGACTTCATCATAAGGGGATTTATATGGGATATCCCTATCCTTATTTTTGCTTATGTGCTTTTTTAGGGACCTTCTTTACGGCTTGGGAATTAGGGTTCAGGACGTAGGGTTTGGGATCTGCAGGGTTTCGGATCTGCAAAGTTGCTATCGTCTCTCAGCTCAAGGATGCAGAGCCCAAGCATCTGTCAAGAGTTCTTGTGATTGCAGTCTCTTGGCTTTGCGTGCTCGTGCCAAGAGGGTGCACTTGTTGAATCCCTAAACCCTACGCTTTGGCTCCCTTTGCCGGGACTTGAATGATCTGGAAGAGAGGAGCAATGTTAAGAAGCGCGTGCTGCTGGAAAGCGACGCCAGCGGCGTTAACAAGAGGAAGCTCATCCAGAAGGTGCGCGGAGTGACACATTCAAAAAGTACGCAATCACCCAGCCACGGGGCAGAATTCGGCAGCAAGACCAGGATGAATCGTGATTGGGCTCACAGAAACTTGCCTTCAGGCTGTGGTAGAAGAGCTTGTCCGCCTTGTGTCCACCGACAAGAAGCCATACAAGCTTGAGCATCTTGGCGGATGATGGATAGGGCTCTTGCAGCGTGTGTACCACAATGAACGATAATACTGTAAAATATTAATATAATGTAATTATCATAGATATGGTATCATATTACAGTATATCCTCTACGATAACATGATATAAAAAGGAGTGCATCATAATCTCTTCGCTTTCTCTCCGATCGCAGGAAAGGCAAAGTGAACATCATCATGTTCGTGGGCTTGCAGGGCAGCGGGAAGACGACTACCTGCACCAAGTTCGCCCACCACTACAACCGCAAAGGACAGCTATCCGCAGGTTTTGTTTATGGGTTTCGGCTTTGGCCCAATCCGTTTGTTGATGCTAGGTCCTACACGGAACTTGCGGCAGCTAGTGTCAAGGAGCTCTTTTCCCTCCTACACCTTAAACCCTTACCCTAAACCCCTACGCCCTAAGCCTCGAAACCCCTAAACCCTTTAAACCGTAACCCAAAACCCCGAAAAACCGACTATGCCGCGGCCTCTGCTGGAGCTCTGTGCCTCGAGGCTGGAAGACAGCCCTGGTCTGCGCCGACACCTTCCGTGCCGGCGCCTTCGACCAGCTGAAGCAGAACGCCTCGAAGGCCTAAACCCTAAACCCCGAACAGCAGTGGAAACGGGGCCTCAGAAAACCCTTATCTCAAAAGACTTAAGCAGAACGCCTTGAAGGCAGAGGTGTAACACAAAAAGTGTTTTTTCAACATGAGCCCTAAGCCTTAATTTTGATAAGCCTATATAAGCAGAACACCTTCAAGGCACGAGTGACCTAATGGGGAACTGTTCGCGGAGACGCAGGCCTTGGATGTTGTCTTGAACTTCGGTTGGAACATTTGCCAGGTCAGAATACCTTTCTATGGTGACTACAACGAGACAGACCCGGTCAGAATCGCCGAAGAAGGCCAGCTTGCTGAAGCGCCGTGTCGCGGCGGAATTCGGAGGTCGCCAATTTAGCCGTCGTTATATTAAGGATACTAGTTTTTTGTAGTCCGTCAGTGGCCCTTATTCGACAACTCCCAATAAACACATCTGAGCCTGTCACAGCCACGATGAGGCTTGCACGACACGGTTCTCCTGTAAGGGCTGCTGGGACCGCTTCAATACTGTACGATAGGAGTCGGAATAAGCAGTATCCCAATACAGTCGGAATAAGTAGGAATATCCCCTCACAGTCCCCAGTCCCTAGCATAAGATTCCCCAAACCCTCTTCCTATTCTTTTGACCCTGTCGGTCTGGTGGGGACAGTTGCCGTGTGCTCTAAGGTTTTCACGCCTTTGGAATCACCCTAAACCCTGAACCCAGAACCTCTAAACTCAAGGATCTCCAGCCGTTCTCTTCGCCAGGCGTGGAGCTTTTCAAGAAGGAGAAGTACGACCTCATCATAGTTGATACCTCCGGTCGCCACAAGCACTCCTGGCACTTTTGTTACGACCTCTTCGGGTTTTCGCCATGCCAAGAGGCATTGAGGTCATGTTGGTGTGCATCCAACCGCTGCTGTGCCACCAGGCAGGAGCAAGCATTGTTCGATGAGATGAAGCAGGTGGCAGAGGCTCCTTGCACTGTCTCGCCAAGCCTCTAGGTAGATAGCATTATCAGAAACATTATTGCGTTTAATTAACATTGTTTAATGTACAGAAAAGGACATTGTGGAGGCCGGCGTTTTGTGAGTTTCGTCGAAGAAGACGTTCCATATAACATGTATGGTCAAATACGATTACGATTAGCAGTGACGAACAGTAAAACATCACTAGTACTAAAATCCGTGAGAATATGTAGCGAAACGGATTTGAATTTGTAGCTTTACTAAGGAATGCGTCACTCCAGGCTGAGAGCTCGGCTGAGAAGAATATATATATGCATATATATATATATATATATATATATGCATATATATAGTTTTGTTATTATACATTAGGCGCTAGTTTTGTGAGTCTAGTGTCATCGTGTCGCGACCCTGGTCTCCGCAGTGGAACTGCATCCAAGACCCGCAAATGTCAGCGTCGCATGAGCTTTCGGCTTAATGCTTGACCCAGAGGCTCCAAAACCACTTAATTAAGCAAGACACCTTAAAGCATAGTTTGATCCCCAGTCTGATTTACGGTATATTCCTTAACTTAAGGGGTTTCGGAGTCTCTGATGCCAGGTAGTCCAGCCCAACGACACCATCTTCATTATGGACTCCCACATCGGTGATGACCCGAGATTTCTGCACCCCAGAACTGCACTCCCGCGGCAGTCACAACCGTTTCGAGGGTGAGTTTAGGGTTCCTTTAAAGCAATCTATACTTGGAGGATCATGGGACTTAGTAAGTAAGGTTATAAGTACCCTAACTGGAGTTATAAGTATAGCTACCTTATTTATAGCCCTAGTTACTAAGTCCCATGATCCTCCAAGTAGGGGTTCCTTTCAAGGGCTCCATAGGTTCATTTGTTTATTTGGGGTGGATTAGGTTTCGGACCCTAAACCCTAAACCCATCTATGGGCCCAAGGATGGGCGGGCAGGTGGAAAAAGGTCCGACTGTCATCATAGATCAAAAAAAAACCCTAAACCCTGTTTCGGACCCGGTATCTGAACTTCAGCACGCGTCGTCCTGGCGCGTGTGTGAGGCCGGTAGCACGCTGTCACTGAATCGAGGCATCTTGCCTTACCTTGTATAAAGCAGTATATTATGCTGTGGTTCAGATTTCATTATGCTACATAATTAGCATCTACACATCTAGGAAGGATAGTATACTGTGTCTTAGCTCATAGCTCATATTACACTATGTAGCATCTAAATACCTAGCATAGTCTGCTGCAGCTGTTTCCTAAAATACCCTAAACCCTAAACCCTGAACCCTAAACCCTAAACCGTAGGGCTTGAACACCGAGACTCGGGGGGCCTACGTGGTTTCCCTCTCTCTTTCTTGCAGACCCTAAATCCTATAAACCCTGTACCCTAAAGCCTCAACCCTGAAACTTTATAGGAACCATAAACCCTGAACCGTGAACCCACAAGGAACTCTAAACCCTAACCCCCGCAACCGTAAACCCTACATAGCTCTTATAGATCTTTTTACTGCTCCCTTGAAAGATCCCTTTAAAGATCCCTTTAAGGGTCCCTTAAAGATCCCTTAAAGCAACCCTAAACCCTAGCTCTTATGGATCCTTTTAGAGGTCCCTTTAAAGATCCCTTAAAGGAACCCTTTCAAGGTCCCTTAAAGGAACCCCAAACCCTACCTCTTATAGATTCCTTTAAGGATCCCTTAAAGGAACCCTCTCTCTTTCTTCGAGGCCAGGCCTGCTACGACCAGGCCCGGGCCTTCCGAGAGGTCGTGGACATCGGTAGCGCCCGGGGCCCAGTTTTTGAATGTTTTTGACAGGATTTAGGGCTTAGGGCTTGGAGTGTGTAGGGTTTTGGGGTTTGGGGGTTAAGGGTTTGGAGTATTTAGGGTTTAGGGTTTGGGGGTTGGGGTTTGGAGTGTTTGGGGTTCAGGAGTTTAGGGCTTTGGGGTTTAGGTGTTTAGGGTTGAGGGTTTGGAGTGTTTAGGGGTTTAGGGTTTGGGGCTTAGTGGTTTTGGGTTTTCGTCTTGGGGTTTGGGGTTTAGGATGACTAGTGCTATTGTATTAGTTCACAGTACTGTTCTATGATCATCACAGTTTTTCTTTCTCTCACGTATTATAAACTCTGCTGCGACCAATGTTATTTTGGTTGACATGATGACTGTGATGATGAGATGATGGTCATTCGCCTGCTCTTCCATGTAGCAGTAACATTCCGCTTCCACCGCGCTGCTTCAACATGCCGGGGGGCTCGAATCATTTTCCTCCGACCCCGAAACCCCCTGAACCCTATATCCCTAAAGCCTAAAGCCCTAAACCCTGAACCTCGAACCCTAACTGAGACTAACCTTTGGGCAGACGGAAAAGAGGGTTCAAAAAAAGCAAAGGAAGCCCTAAAGCCCTAAACCCCTAACCCCTAACCCCTAAACCCTGAAACCTCGATCCCTAGCTCAAGGTCATCATCACGAAGCTCGATGGCCACGCCAAGGGTGGCGGAGCACTGTCCGCCGTCTCTGCCACGCCAGGGCCCCGAGGAGATCGGAAGCCTAGGAAGTCCAGGGAACGGACGCCTTGAACCCGAGAACCCAGAGAGCCCATTAGGGTTTAGGGGGTTTTAGGGGTTTCGGGTATGGGGTTTAGGGTTTGGGGGATTTAGAGTTTAGGGTTTTCCCAGGCAGCCCACTACCCCTTAATTACGGAACATAGCTTGAATCATAATAGGACAAGGGATTCGAATTTAAGCTATGTTCCTTAATTAAGGGGTATTGGGCTCTCTGGGAGCACTGGGCCAAGCATGTAATGCAATATAATAAACGATATTACAATATATCATACGATAGTTCGATATAGTATACTGTACTAGAATATACTAGAATAGACTGGAACATAGTATGATATAGTGAAATGTTAACACCCACCTAGTATAGTACAGTATATGTACAAAGTCTCAGAGTCATGGCCAAGGAATTCGCCCATCATCTTCCTGGGAACCGGGGAGCACTTCGATGAGCCGCTTCCTCATTTTGTCCTGCTCCGGGTAGTTCTCTCAATTCGGGTCTAGGGTTTTAGGGCTAAGGGTTTAGGGTTCGGGGTCCTTTCTTTTATACACAGCTGCCGTATCTGTTTTTGGTCCCGAAAAAGGGACGCTAATTTAGAGAACTGCCCAAGGGATTTCAGCTGTGTATATTTTGTGGGAAGCTGTTCACGCAAATGTACCCTGTTTCTACCTCGCCCGCCCCCATTGGCTTAGTGGTTTTCTCCCATCAGCCCGCAGAAAACAAGAGAGGCCGAGCAGACAGAGCAGAGAGAGAGAGAGAGAGCGAAAGAACTAACGAAAGAAAGCATGAATTAGATAATGAGCGGCAGGCAAGGAGGAAGGGAAGGGAAACCCCGAACCCTAAACCCCAAACCGAGATGTTGTGCTACAGGTTACCACCACCACCGCCACCACCACGACGACTACTACTGCTACTTCTGCTACTACTACTACTCCTCCTCCTCCTCCTCCTACTACTACTACTACTGCTGATGACATAGCTCCTGATTTACTTTCAGGAACCTAAACTATGGGAATTTATGGTCTATTTCCTCTTATGGGTAATGCAGGATGTACATCATCAACCGTACCACTACCGTGCTTCAGGTTCCAGCCCTTTGATGCTCAGAGCTTCGTCTCGCGACTTCTCGGTGCCAGCCCCGGTTGCAGGGTTTCTCTTGCTTGGAGTATAGAAGGGTACTTTCAAGGCTTAGTAGCTGAGTGGATATATACACTTTACACTTTTGGGGATAATATGACCCACTATAAAACTGAAAAGGTACACCTTTTGGGCTTCTGAACTCAGCAACTAAGAAGGGGTTCCTTTAAGAGATCTTTTGGGTGTAGGGGTTTAAGCGTTTAGGGTTTTGAACTAGAATCTCTGCTGGGAAAAACCATAGAGCAGTACGCCGTAGTAGAAATGCAGGGGCCAAAATAATTGTCTACACGATTCTGGTGTTCCTTGCTAGAAATGTGGTAGGTAGAATATATCCAGAACCCTATTCTAATCAAGGCCCCTATATTACGGGGATTGGACAAAGATTCTCTTCAGCAAAGGATGCAGGGAAGATCGTGGGAACCCACATCCTGACGAGCAAAATCTCGAGGTCGACGTTTTGGGTTCTGGCATGTCTCGTCCTTCCTACAGCTGGTCTCCATAACCCTACACCTTGAACCCTGAACCATCCTGAACCCCAAGCCAAAACCTTAGACCTTGAACCCTAGACCCTGAGGCCTAAACCCTAAACACTGAACTTTGAACCCCAAACCCCTGTAAACCTTTATAAACCCTTGTAAACCCTTAGAGGACCCCTGAACCCGAAACCACTTGCAGGATCATGGGACGTAGTAACTAGGGTTATAAATATGGTAACTATACTTATAACTCCCATTAGGGTACTTCTTACTTACTAAGTCCCATGATCCTCCAAGTAGTACCCTAAACCCTAAATCTCTATAGATCCCTTTAAGGAACCCTATAGCTCCCTTGAAGGAGCCCTTTAAGAACCCTTACTGAGTCCCATGATCCTTCAAGTAGACCCTAATTGACCCTAAACCCTAATCCCCTAAAGATCCCTTATAGCACCCTTTAAGGAGCCCCTTAAGGAACCCTTTAAGGAACCCTTATAACCTTACTTACTGAGTCCCATGATCCTCCAAGCATGAAGAGCGCTTTATGCGAGGAATGGGAGACTTGAAGGGCCTCTTCCAGACCATCACCGAGGCATCCGGCGGCTACCGTTGATGATATAAATCCTGCATTACCCATAATAGGGAATACAGTTTAGGGTCCTGGAGGTAATGACCAGACGACTTGAGGGTTTAGGGGCTACTTGAAGGATCATGGGACTTAGGGTCCGTTTTAGGGGTTCCTTCAAGGGGTACTATAAGGGCTACTTTTAGGGTTCCTTATTGGGATCTTAGGGTTCAGGGTTCAGGGTTTGGGTCCTTATGATGTAAGGGTTCCTTAGAGGGATCTTTCGGGCTACTAGAAGGCTTTAGCGTTTAGGGTATGCTTGAAGGATCATGCGACTTAGGATTCCTTTAGGGGTTCCTTCAAAGGGCTCCTTAAAGGGATCTTCAGGGTACTGTAAGGGTTGAGGCTTAGTAACTTTAAGGGTCCCCTAAGGGGTTCCTATACGGGACCTATAGAAGTCTAGGGTTACCGAAATGTTCATGGAACTTAGTAACTAGGGTTATAAGCACAGTAACTATACGTATCGTTGACTACCCAAAACCCCATTGCAACTAATTAGACTAGAGTTTTCGGGGCTCCTTATTATAGTTATAGTTTTTTGTACCCCCAAACATACTCTAAGTATCAAGGGCCCTACATCATAGAACCGTACCATACTCCTCATAGACCCCTTTAAGCTTTAAGGTACCCTTTATGGGCACCTAATAGTACCCATATAGATCCCCTTAGGAGGATCCCTTAAAGCAGCCCTAAAACCTTTTTGCCCCCAAACCCCATTCCAATTATTATATAAGGCCCCGAAATTATAGTACCCAATTATAGATCCCTTATAGTAATCCTAAACCCTAAACCCTACAAATGTCCTTGTGGAGGTGACTAGGCCCTGCTTTCGCGACCTTAAACCCTACACCCCTAAACCCTTTAAACCCTAAGCCCTAAATCATGTCTTGGAATTGAGGCCATGCCCTTGGACAAGCAGCCGGAGCTCCTGAATAAGATCTCCAAGGGCAGGCCGGGGGTTAGCGGGTTAAAAGTCAGGGTTCCTTTAAAGGAGCCCTAGGGGCTCCATTAAGGGATCTAGCTAGGGATCCATTGACGGGTTTAGGGTTTTTTCGGCGTTTAGGGGTTTAGGGTTTGAGGGGTCTAGGGATTTGGGGGTTTAGGGTTCGGGGGTTGTTTAGGGGTTTGGGGGTTTAGGGGTAAGGACGGGGCCTCTGGGTTTTGAATTCTCTGCGCGGGTCATGCCGCTGAATAGACTATATACTTTCATACTGGCAGTATAATACAATACACTTAATTAACTAAGGTTATACTATACGTTTATGATACAATGCAACACAATGTATATAGCTACTGTTATACTGCACAAACCCTACACCTTAAACCCTAAACCTTAAACTCAAAACCCTAAACCCTAACCGTACAAATATGCTGGGGAGCTGAGGGAAGTCGTCCTTTCAAAGGGGAAAAGGAGGGACCCTTAATGCGGACCCCTACCCTATAATGGGCTATATAATGGGTATATAATAGCTATATCAAGGGTATATACCTAGGAGTTCTTATTAAGGGTCCCTCCCTTTCTTCTTGGAAAGTCGTTCTTGGCTCTGTGACTTCGTGTCGTCAGGTTCTCGCTGCGGGACCTCTACGAGCAGCGCAACCGGCCGTGATTGCCATTATACCCAGAGGTTTTAGGCTCTAGGGGTTTAGAGGTTAGGGTGTAGGGGTTGAGGGTTTAGGGGGGTAGGGTTTAGAGCGTAGGGTTCAGAACATACTACCATTATGGAATTAGGTCCCAAAAGACCATGCCCATTATGGTTGTTGGGGCCTAATTCCACAATAGTAGTGTATATGGACCCTCTTGAATACAAGCAACTGGAGTATATGGGTGGTTGTCAAAATCATGGTCCCTTGTTGGGTCCTTATTATATATACGGTACCCAAATTGGGACCCTAATTTTGACAACCACCCATACCCGCAAACTGGATCCTGTCCCGCCGCCAGGTTCCAGAATCTGCAGAAGTGTGGCTCTCGGACACGCAGTTTGCCAGCTCAGGTTACCAGAGTCCCGGTAATAGAGGGTTTAGGGTTTAAAGGTTTAAGGGTTTAGAGTTTAAGGGTTTAGGGTTTAAGGGTTTAGGGTTTGAGGGCCTAGGGTGTAGACTTTAGGTTTTAGGGTTAGGGGTCGGAAATAACTACCAGCCCTATTGCCTGCGGTTCCTTATTATAAGTATAGCAGAACATGACCGCAAACCCCTAGACCCCTTTCAGCGGCCTTCAACAGGAACCCTGTTCTACTTGGAGGATCCTGGGACTTAGTAAGTAAGGTTATAAGTACCCTAATTGGAAGTACAAGTATAGTTACCTTCTTTACAACCCTAGTTACTAAGTCCCATGATCCTCCAAGTAGACCCTAAACCCTAAACCCCTATAGATCCCTTATAGAACCCTTTAAAAAGGAGCCCTTTTAAGAAACCCTGTAAGGAACCCTTATAACCTAAACCCTAAACCCTGTAGATCCCTTTAAAGAACACTGTAGCTCCCTTTAAGGAACCCTTATAACCCTAGTTACTAAGGCCCATGACCCTTTAGAGCTCCTTAGAAGGGAACTCTAGAGTCTATTTGCCGTCACTCACCCTGAGCCCTAAACCCCTAAAGCCCTAAACCCCTAAACCCCTGAATCCCTAAACCCTAGCCTAAACCCCTCAACCCCCAAACCTCTAAGCCCCTAAACACAAAACCCTGAACCCAAAATCCTGAGGATGGGGCCCATGAGCCAGATCATGCAGATGATCCCTGGCATGTCCAACCTGATGCCAGCAGGTCAGGGACGGTTTAGCGCTTAACAGTTCAGGCTTTAGGGCTTCAGGTTTAGGGCGGACGGGAAACCCGACAGAGGCTTCAACTGACCCCTCTTATTTGCAAACTAGGCCCTCAACCCTGAACTCTCCTCCCGTAGTCGCACTTCAAACGCCCCCCCCCTCCTGGTCCCTCCGCCCCTGCGAGGCGCAGAGAAAGAGGGCGTGAAGCGCATCAAGCGCTTCATGGCTGGAGCCTCGAGGTCATTGCTGATATGATGATGATGATGATGATGATGATGATGATGATGATGATGGTGATGGTGATGATCTTTCTATAGTCTCCTTAGGAATTATTTTTTGTTTGTTTTCATACAGAACCCAGGAGGATATTAAAGTATTATTTTTGTTATGGTTCTAAGGGGGGGTATAGTATTGGGATTAACTGTTTTTATGGCTAAGATGAATATTGCTGTTATTGTCGTTACTATGATGTGTATTTGTTAGTGTGATAGTAATATCAAAAGCCTTCTGATTATTGATATTACTATTGCAGCTAGTATTGTTATCATTATCAGTATTACTATGTCCACGACTGTTACTATGACTATTATTCTTGTTGTTAGTATTGCTACTATTTTGATCACGATTAGTATTCGTAGAGGAACTCCAGAAACAATGAACCTCACTACTCTTCTTTCTCCCCTGTTTTCACTAGGTGCTAGAAAAACAGCACTAGCATTTGTTATTTAGTGTTAGTATCAGTATCAGTATGACTAGAACAAAGTTGCAAGCATGGGGCATGGCGCTTCTTTCTGGTGCTTCTGCAGACGAGGTCATCATGGACAGCATGCGCGCGGCCCAGAAACAGCCTCTTATCTCGCTCGTCGTGTTCAACAGCAGCAGACGATACAGCGATACTTCCCGAACTCGCTGCGGCAAGTCGGCTAATCTTTCAGAAGCTGGGTAGATATCAATTGTTCCGTCGGACATGAGTAGCGCAACTAGTACTCAGTACCCACGGTTGGCTTGTCCGCGTTCAGATCGTGGATCCATAGCAGAGCCGTCATCTGAGATCTACTCTTAAAACCATCGGCCACTTCCGAAAGAGACGGTTGATGATATCCCATAATAAGGAATATACCATAATTCCCATAGTTTAGGGTCCTTAAGGTAATGCAGGATTCATATCATCAACAGTAGAGATCGTGACCTGGAGGCTTCAAGCCCTTGCTTGGTAGGTCGTAGCTGTGAGAATGGTGCTGTGGCATCATTCCAAGGGCAAACGGAGGGACCCTTAACAAGGACCCCTAGGTGTATGCCCTTAATATAGCTATTATATACCCATTATATAGCCCATTATAGGGTAGGGGTCCCCATTAAGGGTCCCTCCTTTTCCCCTTTGAATCATGAGCAAGCTCGGTCCTCTCCACACTGGTACATCGAATGGCACCGGTGCTGAGCGTCGACCCGTCACACTTCGTGTTGGGGCAGAAGGTGCGCGAGAGGGATGAATGTGTTTCTGACTTGGGGCACCATGTGTCGGTGTCTCAGTCTTGACCTGTGTGAGGGTGCAAGCTGGAAGATCTCCTCCGCCTCCTAAGCCCAAATCCTCACCGGTTCTTAACGGCTCTTCTGTGCCCCGCTGCCCGCATCCAAGCGAATGCTGGGGAGGTGCAGGTGCAATGCTGCGTTCCACCTTCCTTGCTTCTTGGCGTCTGCTGGCAAGATCGGTAGAATTTGCATTCGACCCCCTCCGGGCCTCCTACAGTGTGTCAGCTAGGATGCCCGGTAGTACCCTTATTCCCTTTTTGTGGTCCTAGGTTCCTTATAAAGTTACCCAATACCAAAAAGAGAGGCCTTTTTATTCTTAGGTTACTGGGTATCCTAGACAGTGTGTCAGGTTGAAGTCCGTGTTCCTTATAAAGTTACCCAATACCAAAAAGAGAGGCCTTTTTATTCTTAGGTTACTGGGTATCCTGCATAAAGGGTACTTGTAACCGTAACCTTACTTACTAAGTCTCATGATCCTCCAAGTACAGTGTGTCAGGTTGAAGTCCGTGTTCCCTGATGGGAAGTTCGCGGTTCAACTGGTCCTCCTGGATGCGGAGAGATGCAGGCGCAGGCAGCTCAGGCCTGAGCAGGTCCCCGGTGCCCGAAAGTTCTGGGATCCTTTTTAATAGGGATCCTTAAAGGGGCCTAGAAAGGATCTATAGTAGGTTTCGATAATATAGCAGCCTTTATAATTAGAACAGGATTTAGGGTTTCGGCTTTAGGGAGCGGAGCAAGCGGCGAAGGAGCTCAAGAAATCCTAGCGATTGAAGGTGTTCAATTTTCGGTGATATCGGCTTTGGACAACCAGAGTGTTGGACTGTCTTAGCCTTACCTTTGGTTTGTAGGGAATGGAGCAATGGGGTACAAGTATAACTTATAACCACTATTACTACCAGTCTTCCATTCTTACTAACCGAAGGTATATAATAGTACCCTCATAGATTCCTTATCGAAAACCTTATAGACCCCTTTATAAGGCCCCTTCCATTCCCTACCAACCAAAGGCCAGTAGCGTAGCCGTGCCCTTGGAAGACCATTTGGCCCCTTCACTCTCTCAGCTAGCACGCCCTAAACTTCTAGGATGCCCGGTAGTACCCTTACAAATTTATCTATAAGGATTCCTTAAAGGGATCTATAAGGGTTCTATAAAGGGTTTAGGGTTTCCGAAAATTAGGGGCTAGGATGCCCAGTAGTACCCTTATTCCCTTTTTGTGGTCCAAGGTTCCTTATAAAGTTACCCAATACCAAAAAGACAGGCCTGTTTATTCTTAGGTTACTGGGTATCCTAAACTTCTAAACAGCGAAACCCCGAACCCCTACAAACCCCTACCTCTAGGCTCCATAGTAGTTCCTTTTTGGGGCTCATATTCAGAATCCTAAAAGGTAGTCCCAAAATGGAGCTACCATGAAGGCTATGGGTAAACCGATAAACCCCAGAATCCTAAACCCTAAGCCCAGGTTGTGGCGTGCCGGAAGCTGAGCTGGGAGTTCCGCTGTGCGCCTGACGTCAACTTGGAGGCCCGGCACCGTTTTGCGGTTTAGGGGTTTAGGGTTTAGGGTTTAGGGTTTGGGGGTTTAGGGGGTTTAGGGTTTAGGGTTTAGGGTTTCACCGTTTTGCGGTTTTACGCGTTTACAGCAAAGCCGATGCCAGCACTTCGGTGCGCCGTATACTAGATGTATAGAAAGCGTTTCGATGTGTGTCAGTGATAGCGGTGGCGAAATTGACGTCGCAGGCGACACCTCGAGTGCAGACGGTCGAAGTCGGATGCGATCCGGGTGTGTGGAGCGAATGTGACGGAGAGCAGAAGGAAAGAGTCTTGATAGGCCTGGTGGTGACAAGCTCCATCCTCGGCCCGGGGGTTTGGACACTTGCAGGTTTTGTGATGCTTGACGTCATGGAAGAGGGCAAGATGCTAGGTTCGATAGGCTCGAGTGTCGGCGTGAAAGTTGAGGAGCCACGGCGTGTGCAATCACAACCACTGGTGGGACGTTACCATGAAAATTACCGAAGGGTCCTTCGAAGGGCCGAAGACGTGGTGCCGAACCTGAGGAAACCTCTCCAGCTTCTGATGCCGTCGAGAGCCTATTGGCCAAGTGAATCGAGCTGGGATCACGAGATGCTAGATCAGGCCTTCGGCATGACTGCACAGGAGCCGCCGCGTCTGAGATCACAACCGCTGGTGGCACGTCATTGTGAACCCTCCTTGCGAGCAGATTGGCCAAGTGATGCGAGTTGGGTTCACGAGATGCTGGATCAGGCCTTCGGCATGACTGCACAGGAGCCACCACGTCTGAGATCACAACCGCTGGTGGCACGTCATTGTGAACCCTTCTTGCGAGCAGACTGGCCAAGTGATGCGAGCTGGGTTCACGAGATGCTGGACCAGGCCTTCGGCATGACTGCACAGGGGCCACCACGTCTGAGATCACAACCGCTAATGGCACGTCATTGTGAACAGTGCTTGCGAGCAGACTGGCCAAGTGATGCGAGTTGGGTTCACGAGATGCTGGATCACGCCTTCGGCATGACTGCACAGGAGCCACCACGTCTGAGATCACAACCGCTGGTGGCACGTCATTGTGAACACTTCTTGCGAGCACATTGGCCAGGTGATGCGAGCTGGGTTCACGAGATGCTAGATCAGGCCTTCGGCATGACTGCAGAGGAGCCACCGTGTCCACGATCACAACCGCTGGTGGCACGTCATTGTGAACCCTTCTTGCAAGCACATTGGCCAAGTGATGCGAGTTGGGTTCACGAGATGCTAGATCAGGCCTTCGGCGTGACTGCACAGGAGCCACCACGTCTGAGATCACAACCGCTAGTGGCACGTCCTTGTGAACCCTTCTTGCAAGCACATTGGCCAAGTGATGCGAGCTGGGTTCACGAGATGCTGGATCAGGCCTTCGGCATGACTGCACAGGAGCCACCACGTCTGAGATCACAACCGCTGGTGGCACGTCATTGCGAACCCTTCTTGCAAGCAGACTGGCCAAGTGATGCGAGTTGGGTTCACGAGATGCTGGATCAGGCCTTCGGCATGACTGCACGGGGGCCACCACGTCTGACATCACAACCGCTGGTGGCACGTCATTGTGAACCCTTCTTGCGAGCAGACTGGCCAAGTGATGCGAGCTGGGTTCACGAGATGCTGGACCAGGCCTTCGGCATGACTGCACAGGAGCCACCACGTCTGAGATCACAACCGCTGGTGGCACGTCATTGTGAACACTTCTTGCGAGCACATTGGCCAGGTGATGCGAGCTGGGTTCACGAGATGCTAGATCAGGCCTTCGGCATGACTGCACAGGAGCCACCGTGTCCGCGATCACAACCGCTGGTTGCACGTCATTGTGAACCCTTCTTGCGAGCAGATTGGCCAAGTGATGCGAGTTGGGTTCACGAGATGCTAGATCAGGCCTTCGGCATGACTGCAGAGGAGCCACCGTGTCTGCGATCTCAACCGCTGGTGGCACGTCATTGTGAACCCTTCTTGCGAGCAGACTGGCCAAGTGATCCGAGCTGGGTTCACGAGATGGTGGATCAGGCCTTCGCTATGACTGGAAAGGAGCCACCACGTCTGAGATCGCAACCGCTGGTGGCACGTCATTGTGAACCCTTCTTGCGAGCAGATTGGTCAAGTGATGCGAGTTGGGTTCACGAGATGCTGGATCAGGCCTTCGGCATGACTGCACAGGAGCCACCATGTCAGAGATCACAACCGTTGGGGGCACGTCATTATGAACGCTTCTTGCGAGCAGATTGGCAAAGTGATGAGAGCTGGGTTCATGAGATGCTAGATCAGGCCTTCAGCATGACCACAGAGGAGCCACTGCATTTGCGATCACAGCCGCTGGTGACATGTCATTTTGAGCACTGTTTGCGAGCAGATTGGCCAAGTGATGCGAGCTGGGTTCACGAGATGCTAGATCAGGCTTTCGGCATGGAGCCACCATGTCTGCATGGTGAACACTTCTTGCGAGCAGATTGGTCAAGTGATGCGAGTTGGGTTCACGAGATGCTGGATCAGGCCTTCGGCATGACTGCACAGGAGCCACCATGTCTGAGATCACAACCGCTGGGGGCACGTCATTATGAACACTTCTTGCGAGCAGATTGGCCAAGTGATGAGAGCTGGGTTCATGAGATGCTGGATCAGGCCTTCAGCATGACCACAGAGGAGCCACCGCATTTGCGATCACAGCCGCTGGTGACATGTCATGTTGAGCACTTCTTGCGAGCAGATTGGCCAAGTGATGCGAGCTGGGTTCACGAGATGCTAGATCAGGCTTTCGGCATGGAGCCACCATGTCTGCATGGTGAACACTTCTTGCGAGCAGATTGGTCAAGTGATGCGAGTTGGGTTCACGAGATGCTGGATCAGGCCTTCGGCATGACTGCACAGGAGCCACCAT